AATTTTCAGATTTCTACATAGAGAAACCTTTCCAACCTGGGAACCAAACCCCTTCCCTCCTTGATTTAATTTGAATGTCAAATTAAATTCCTCCATCAAACCTCCCAAATTCTGAAATTAATCCAAAATTCCTGCACACTTCCATGTGGATCCCACCATAACCAAGCTCCCATCTTCTCCCGGATGCTCCATCAACTCCCGGCAAGAATGCATGGACGTTGGATCATTAACGGCCGCCCACCGCTCCTCCAAATCCGGCTTCCTCCCCGGCGACGAGTCCTCTCGGGATTACTTGTCTATTAGTGGCATCGTTGAGTTTACTTACAATCCTCCTCCGCTAGCCCCTATTTTCGAGAGCACTAAAAGGACCTCAAGGTGAATGATCTAAATTTTAAACGTGTGGCTTTAGTCGTAGCTATTTGCATTATCAAGTTTATTTTGGTTATATTTTGTAATACTCATGTAATTCTTGAATGTAATCACCGCCGTTAACATAATCTATCACGAAGTTTCTTGAATCCAAATTGAGAAAGCTAGATTTTATCGTTAACATTGCAAAGTTAAACGCTCATTAATATCTAACGTGCAATTCATGTTCACCGCATGTGGTTTCACATCATCTTGGTATCAGAGCATGGTAAGCATGCACGACATGTTTAGAAAAACATCTTAGGATATAGCCTTTCATATTAGTTTAAAATTGCATGCATATCAATGCGTAGATAGGACATTTTCACTGTTTTCACTGCTGTAGTCATAATTCCTGCATGCATGCATTAAGGTTTAAGACATTCTAGGTAGTGTAAGAGTGCTGCCTTTAAACCCACTTTGCTTCTACTTGCTTAGGACAATCACAACCTTAAGTTTAACTGCTGTCATCAATGTTCCTACAGCTGTTAGACATTGTTTAGTGGACTTGTAACCCTGTGTCTAGCTGCTGTCTTTTAATTCCTGCAGTGATTAGAGGTCTTTGGGAGTCTATAACTTAAGTCCTAGGTGCTGTCCACACCTTAGGAGTCTCTCTGAACCCTTAGGATAGTATTCCTAGCTGTGTAGTTTTGCTGTCCACTCACAAACTGCACTTGTTAGAGACAATTAGGTGACCTGAATCTCTAGCCGGAGTCTAGAGACAAAATCAACACCAAGATCTCAAATTTCAGCCCAAATTCAAGATGAAAACCTCACTCTAGAAAGAAGAAGATTATTTAAAGTAAAAGGACAATTCATTAATCCCTAAACAGCCCCTAATTTAAATTTTTCCTCCAAATCCCAGCCTTCATTATTGTGTGGGTCCCACTCAAAGCTGTCGCCCAAGCTAGGATTCCACCCCCTGCTGTTTCCGCCTTTTGTAGACCAGAACCGATCTAGGGAGGACCGGTTCACCCGACCCAAAGGCCAGTCTAACAGTTTTCTTCCTATTTCCCGTTGATGTTCACAATTCAATTAAGTTTTCATCAATTTTTCTCTTCACCAAAACAATTCTAAGCACTTGCTATTAATAACTTTTCCCCTTCAATACACTTCTCCCCATTAACCCAAGCGCCCATCCTTTACTCCCATGAAAAATCCATTGAATTACCTCCTCTAATATCCCTTCTCTCCTCCCATGAAAATAAACAACAATTTGATTTGTTCTCAAGTAATTCCTCTACCACAATCCGCTCACCACTCTTTTCACTTTACCCCATCTCCTATAGCTCCTCTACTGATTAAATATAGCAACAATGATCTAAAATCTGAATAAAATTCAAAATTATTTTAGATCCTCAACCAATTCAGAAATTTGCACACTAAATTAATATACCTAATGGTATCCTAGCCAAATACATTCTATTTATTATTTTATTGTTATTTTTTAATTAGTTTGGATGTAATGATAACAAAGATACTGTTATCCTTGATTATTTGGATTTTTTATATTATAGTAAACTCCATGAAAAATTCGTATGGACCTTGCTTTGACACCCAAATTGTTCTTTTGCGTTGAAAATTTGGCAACCCAATATCTAGAGATGCCATCATTAACAGCCCAAAGATTCTTTGCTTGATTTTCCTTTCTAACAATTTCTAATTGATTTTCACAATTCCATTGTGTGCCTGATGTCAACACGTTAAACCAAGCATCTAGTTGCATCTCAATCTACACCCCACTGGCACCAACCTATATTCGAATTTTGGGAAAATGCGAAAGGAAACCAAAGAAAATCTCAATTACATAAGTACTCTACACAAAATAGAAGCATTAATTACTCAAATACACAGTAAAGAAGTAATTCGACATCATATACACACTAATTGCATTTAGAAGCAAAGAACCAACTCGGAGATGATATCATGACAGAACTAATACAATTTTCGGTAAATGTTACTCTAATTTACAAGTAGATTTTAAAAATGAGTAGAACAATTACTTTTTGAACATCATTTAACAGCATGATGCTGCAAAAAGCTTAAATTTCTCCAAATATAATACAAAAAAAAACTTGTTAATTGCATGAAACACAGGCAATTTGAGTATGCCGCATAGACAAGGCAGTACAAATACATCTTGAAAAAATATAAGACATTAATCTGTTAGACCGGTCCAGCCGGTCCCCTATTTCCTGCTGCGTTTTCCCTGTTTTCTGCTGTTTTGCTTATGTGGACAGCAGTTGGCTGCTGTAATTTTACTGGTTTGGGATAGGAATACTTGTGAACCCAAGTGTTTCCTATCATAATCATGTGATTAGCACTTAAATAAATCCACTGTTCACAACTGTACCTGTAAGGCTAAGGACTTTCTATTCAAGCTGTATCCATGTGATCATCATTGTTTTGACCAGGTTATACACTCGTTTAAATAATGTCCTATTCTATGAGATTAATGATCATTTTCAGATTATATAAATAATACTTCCCAAATAGAAATTATTCTTTAGATATTAGTTAAATAAGCAACATTTTTTATGCATACGGGACAAAATAAACAACCTCCAGATAATCTATATCCTATCTAGACCAAGACCAAAGGGTTGGCTAGTTTTGGCACCTTTGAAAAGTCAAACTTGATTGCTTAGCGACACCAGACACCAATGGCCAGTAAGTCCACTACAAACTAATTACATTCATGTACCAACATATATATATATAGAAGCTCAAAAGATCTAAATTTTCACCCATGGTCGGCCATACTAAATTTTTATCTGTGGCGCCATTGACTAGCAGCAAACATAAAACTGCTAGACGTGCTTTGAACAAACAACAGGAAATGACTCAAAACCAAACCACCATCAGTCAAGCTTTGCTCATTCATTTAGATTAAACCTTTTTTAATTATCTAATAATAGAAAAGTTCTATAGAATTTCATGGCCTTCCTCCTGTATAATATATAACAAGAAAACTATCTTTGTTGGTCCTAAGCTTGGATAAGAAAGACTTCAAACATAAAATCTACGCCAAAACTCATGAAATCAATACAAACTAAAAAATTTGATGATGTATACTTGATAATAAGTTCAAAAGCAAGTTACTCTCAATCTAGAATTAAGCCTGGAGAAGTAGAAAGACTCACGAACCTTTTCTTCCTAAAGTTTGAGGAACAAGTTAATAGCTAAAATACATAGGGTGGGTAACATGCTTTAAAACTATCATATTCTTGTTCATCAGCTTTTAATGTAACAAGGATGAAACAGATGTATCTTAATGTGAACAGATTTACAAGACAACCTTCACCTAAATGTATTTGCAGCATTCATTTAGTGGTGAATTAACAAATAAATTTCCATATAATGGAATATAATGACTCTGGGAAATTTTTGATCGTTGATCCAAGGCTAGCACGGTCAATCTAGGCTCTAAGCTAGGTCTCTGTTGGTTTTCATTTAGTTTTTCCGAGTTTTATATTTCTCCTTAGTCCAGGCCATTAAATGACAACTGACTAGGGATAAACTTTGATAAAATTAAGGATTCTGGCCAAATTTTTGACATTTATATCACCATTTTGTTGCAAACTTGTTGCTTTACTTGCAACAAGGGACAGACTAAGTAATTAAAAATTGGCTTTAGTGTCACCTGAAGATAACCTTGCTAATATCGAAACAGAGTGTCATTTACAATACAATAATTGAACCCAAACACATCAAAGAAATAATTAGCTTACTATAAAAAAGGTGGCCAACAACTTCAAACACCAAGATTAACTTCAAATATAAAAGGCTTGACCTGCAAATAATTGCAATGATGGAAGGAAGTTGTCTGGTCTAACATCATTGAATTAGGAGTAGAATGCGTTTTACCTGAGATTTTCTGTAAAAAATAGGCAAATGATAAAACATAGAAATAGCTGAACGACCAATTCTTTTGTACATAAGCCCAAGAGTAATAATTAATCCAGCACTAATTTTTCAGTCTGAAAGCATGCCGCTAGTTGATGAGGACATCGAAGATCAACGGCTACGATCTTTAGTTATTTATTTATATGTACTAGTTTATTTCATATTATTGTTTTTCCCTTTATACCCTTATGGGTGTTCATGTAATATTGTAGCCCGAATGACATTTTGACCTGCAAATAATTGCAATGATGGAAGGAAGTTGTCTGGTCTAACATCATTGAATTAGGAGTAGAATGCGTTTTACCTGAGATTTTCTGTAAAAAATAGGCAAATGATAAAACATAGAAATAGCTGAACGACCAATTCTTTTGTACATAAGCCCAAGAGTAATAATTAATCCAGCACTAATTTTTCAGTCTGAAAGCATGCCGCTAGTACTACTGTACTATAGTCAACATGCAAGTTGGTGTATTGCAACTTACCTATGCAATAAAAAATAAATTTGAAAGATTGTAGAATTTTAAATATAACAAGCAACTAATCAAAAAACAAAATAAAATTTCTAATCTCCATAAAGAATATATCATTCAGGATACATTGATTAGATAAATGTAATTAAACTGATGCAGGCATTATATTATATATCAGGCTTAAATGAAAGAAAAAGCAAGCAATATCGACAATACCATCTGCTTTAACACTCAACTCTTCCATCTGATTTGCGATTTGTTCAGCTGATAGCTTTGCATCATGTTCCTTCTTCTGTGTCTCTTTCACCTCCTTCTCTAAAAATTCCAGAGAGAGCTTTAATTTTTCAATTGGTGATTCCATGTTGCGTTTTTGTTCATACTCCAGCCTACAATAAGTGAATTCAACTGAGGCAATGTTTTGGTTGGAGTTATTATAGATTATATGATGCGGAAGTGATAAGCACTATCGGAGAGATGAATCAGTTTCCAATCACAACAAAACAACATATGGGCTGAACATTAAGTTAAATTTTTTTTGTATTGATAGCTGAGACATTTAAGGGAAAATTCTATAAAATGGTGGTTAGACCTATAATGCTTTATGGTGTAGAATGTTGGCCCTTACTTAAAAGAGAACCATAATATTAAGTTAAGAGTTGTGGAGATGAGGATACTCAGGTGGATGAGTGGCATTACTCTTAGAGGCAGGATACGAAATGATCATACACATGAAAAAGTTGGAGTAGCTCCTGTGGAAGATAAGATTAGAGAGAGTCTCCTTAGATGATTTGGTCATATAAAACGGCGGCCTTCCAATGACCCAGTTAGGAAAGTAGATGTATTAGATTTGACTTAAGTTAAAAAAAAATAGATGTAGACCAAAAAAGACTTGGTTAGAAAATATTAAAAATGACCTTTCCTTATTAGATTTAAATGAGAATTTAACTTTTAACACGACACAATGGAGAAGAAGGATTCATGTAGCCGATCCCGCAGTGGGATAAAGGCTTGATGTTGTTGTTGTTGTTGATAGCTGAGATATTTACAAAAGATGTTCAAGTTGACATCTTGATGTATGCTATTTAAAGGTGATATAATTCAGATAGGAGAGAAAGCTCATAAAATAAGTGAAAAGTTGAGAATTATAAAAGATAAAGGGCTCAGGACTTATAAAACAATGAATTAGTACATTATGTACAAGTTTAGTATGTGTAATATTGATAATTACCAATTGATATTGTTGAAAAATTAAGTTATATCAAGGTCGTATAGCTTTAACTAACTTGAATTGTAATACTAAAGAATAGAGATATACATAAACAACTTGAGTTCTAAGCTAATCTTGGTTGGACAAATAAGAAGTTTCTCGTGAATAATATGCAATAAAAATAACTAGGAGATAGATTAATTTAATAAAACTATAAACATGCTCATGGATCTGAAATTTTGGGCAACAAGAAAATCATTAATATTATACTCACCTTTTGACTCGTCTAAAACTTGTGGCCACCATAATGCCTTAACTCATGTTCAACTTCACAATAGAAATTAGCCCCTTCCATGGTCAACCTTGAATTGTTGCATTGGCAAAATCAATTGCCATTCAACGTAGTCATGGCCAAATCAAGGCATGGAAATATAACAACTAGCCTTTATCCCACTATGTGGGTATGGCTACATAAATTATTTTTCTCCATTGTATCCTATTAAGAGTCAAATTCTCATTTAAATATAATAAAAAGAGTCATTTTTAATACTTTTTAACTAAATCTTTTTAGGTCTACTTTTGCCTTTCTTAACATAGGTGGATCAAATACATCTACTCTCCTAATAAGGTCATCGGATGCCGACATTTTATGTGCTCAAACCATCTGAGGCAACTCTCTACTCGTATGATGCAAGCAAAAATTTGGGAAAAGCACCAAATTTTTGCAAGCAAGAACTAGAGCTTCCTAGGAAATAAAAATGACACAAAATTCCCCAAAAACACCTTTTATAATATATAAAGAACTTATGGGTTTTTCCCAAATTTGGGAAAAGCCCCAAATTTTTGCAAACAAGAATTAGAGCTTCCTAGGAAATAGAAATGACACAATTCCCCAAAAACACCTTTTATATTATATATAGACACTTACAACAAATGACACTTACAAACTTATGAAATTAAAATAAAACAACACATAAAACTTCTTAAAATTGCATTTCTTCCATCCCTTGAGAAGAATGATACAAGTGGGGTGTAAACTTGTGGAGAGAAGAAGAAGGCAAGAAGTCGAGACGAAAGGGAGGAGAAGCATGGAACAAGCTCGCAAGCTTTTCGAAAGAAGGACGAAAAAACCCTCAGATTTTTTACTCCAAAAATTTCATCATAGCAACATTTTAAATATACAAAACATCTCCTATTTATAAGCAAAAGAAAGAAGCCAAACATCCATAACACCTCCAACCAAAACCAATCAGGTTTGGGGAAATGAAAGGCCAAAGGCCACCACAAACAGCCCACAAATTCTGCATAGAAAACATGAAGAAAAGCCACGGGAAACCAAGCCAGCAAGCCACGGGAAACTCAGCCAGCAAGCTACAGGAAAGCAGCCAGAGGGGGACCCGAGGAGCCAACACAGGGAACGGGGCAGAGAGGTCACGGGAAAGTAGCCAGGGAAAATAAATGAAAAGACAACCAGTCCACAACATTTACTCACAAGGAAGAAACCAAATAGACACAAGAATAGGAAGAGACAAGCTCCACTCCACATACCTTTATGAATTTATGAGCTAGGAAGTGCAATTACTCATCCAAATAATGAGCTAAACTTCAGCTCAAGCATTAATGAGCTAGCACCAAGTAGAACCCAACTTTTTAAGCTCAAAACCAAGCAGCCAAAGCCCAACCCGAGAGCAGCCAAGGCCCAAACCGAATTATAGCAAACAGCCCAAAGGACAAGAAGGACCCCCCTTGATTTGACCCCCCCTTGCCTACATCACCTTATCTGCTACTATAATTAAATCAAGTGAATCAATCCTACTTCAAGCTTGAATTAAACTATCATATATCTTTTTTCTTTAAAATAAAAAATAATCATTCAATCAGAGTCAAATATTTTAATTGATCAAACTAAATTATTGACTTGGCCTCCATTACTAAATCTATTCAAAACTGATGCGTATAACTCGTTAAAAGATTTCCTGAATTATTGCTGAAAAAAATGTAAACTCAAATTGGTTGAGTCCATTCGTTTGATATTGAAGCTAGTAACATTAAATTGAGGGTGTGAATCATTGTGCGATTGTAATTTTATTTAATTTATAAAAATAATATGCATATAAGAATATATCATAATTACATGTACTAAAGATTACATCCTAGAAGTAGAGACTTAAAAGATGAATTTTTATATGGAGTTAAGTTATTTATAGGTTTTACATGTTAGCAATAAATTTTTCTTAAATAGGGTAAAATTAAATTTCCATGTCCAAAACATGAGAATTAAATTTTAAAATTAATAGAAGAAATACATGTGAATTTGTATAAAAGAGATTTTTAACCAAATTATTAGCATTAGACATCTCACGATGAGTTTGATCATGAACACATAATGTAGAGGCATCAACTAATGCCATCAATATATCGACTGTAAGTGTTGACCCATACACTGAAAAAAGCACAAAAAAGCAAAAATCGGCAACTTAAATGACGGTCGGCGGGTGATATGCATCACTTAAAGGGTCAAACAACCTCTGATCTCCAAACTTATTGCGACGTTGCCATCAGAGCGTGGAATTTACCTAAGCGGGACCAACTTGCAGTAGAATTGGAGGAAACCGGTCAAAATAGGTGGCCGACACCTAAAAATGAGGCGCAACAACACCCAAACGACGTCCAATCGCAAAACGGATTTCGTCGTTGCGTTTGGAACATCTGATTCATCTAAAAATGACTACAATTTTGCTAAACGAAAATCATATGAGAAAATCGACGCGAATTCAGAGACATCGACGCCCAAATCAAGGTGGAGATGCACGTATTTCGAGGGAATCATGTGCAAGTCTTTGCTTTAATTTATATTATTTATTAAATAAAAAAATCAAATCAACCCTCACCTCATCTGTAACCTGAACGTCCGACGTCGCCTCTGCACGACGACGACGCTCTCCCACAATTTTCACACGACGTTCTGGCCTTGTTAAAATAAGAACAAAGTGAAGCTTTATTCGTTTCTACCTTCCGCGTACAAGAGCTCCCAAGATCCCAAACTTCCCAAATAGTTGTAGCCTCCAATCTTCCTCTTCCCGTCTCCAACCACCTTCGACGACCTTCCCTTTACGGAGATCTACCTGAGCTGCTACACCTTTCGAACATTTCTATCCAGCCAGAGTGACTAACTGCTAACCACTGCTTCGATCCCTCAACCCGCAAGCCGGATCACCCCTTAATCCAGCAAATCTTGTTCGATTAGACCTTGTTCCTCCCAGTCAAACTCCGCTTACTGTTCACGACATTGCAAGTCTTCCGGTCTCATCTGCTGAAGCACGTCCGACCAACCCCTTTCAAGTCAACTATTCTTCACAGCCGAACATCCATCCCACCTCTTCACATCCAGCACTGAGCACCCAACCGCAGCCCTCCTGGCCAATCGAACCAAGCCTAACACCTAGGACCATGCCCGACTCCACACAACCAACACCTTGTTCCTGCCAACCTTCTGTCACGACGTCAAATGCATCGAACCATTGTGCCAAACGATGCCTTCTCAAGCCGCAACTCTCGGCCAAACCACACCCACCTCCACCTCCGATCGGATCCGACACCTCTATTCAATTCAATCCCCGTAGCCGTTACAACATGAGTTTATTTCTAAACTTTTTATTTTAAATTTCTTTTATTATTATCATTAATTTAGTTTTATTATTATTATTAAAATAATAATAATAATTATTATTATTACTTTAAAAAAAGAAGAAAAACAGAAAGAAAAACAAGAGTAAAAAAAGGAAGAAAGGAAAATAAATCTTGCGCACGTTTTCGTTGCCGCCGTCATCATTTGTAAGGAATAATGTTCCAAAACCCCGTCATCGGTGCTTGCAACACGGCGAGCAACCACCCATGCACGCTTCTCTTAGTGTGGTGAGAGGAAACTTGATGTGGTGCTTACAACGATGCAGGTAAGCTTTGTGCACGCTTTTCTTAGCATGATAGGGCAAAACTTTAGTACATGTATACGTGCAGAACATACGCGGAAAGAATTATGCATTTTCAAACAAGTACCTTTGAAGAGCCATGTACGCCTTTCTTCATGGGGTGGGATTGAAGATTACGACTGCGGTGTCACTCGACATCGACCATACGCGTCTTTCTTGACATGGAGGGAAGACTAAGACTCCCAAAATT